GGGACATCGCGGTCAGACGCAGGGTTCCATCAGGCACCATCGTTAGCGAGCGCGCAAACCACTTTGTCCGACCCGTACCCGTCGGTCGTTGAAAGTAGGTATTGTAGTGGCCTTCGGCCACTGCCGCCGCGACACTTCGCCGACAGACACGCACGCACACGCTCGCAGACATTACGCGCACACGCGCACACACACACGCGCACGCACACAATTACACACAACCGATATCGTTCTCAAATGCAATGATTTCACGATCGACCTCACCATTGAGCTCATTATTGATGTCATTCAATCGGTCTCACGATCGATTTCAGCGCTGTTCCCACTATCTATCTCACGATCGATCCGGTGCTCTCTTGGGCTGTGGTGGCGCTCAGTTTGGGCTCTCTTGGGCTCTCTTGGGCCAGTTTGCGGCTGTTTGGAGGCTCTGAAAACCTAGGGGGTGTGTTGAGCAGCTCGTCTAACGCCCCTCCTGGAGCACCACCTTCCCTCTAATCCGATGTTGGACCCCTGGGGAGGGGGCGAAGGGGAGGGGGACATCCACATGTCTCACACGCCGTGTCACCCCGGGCAAGCGAGGGTCGGCTGACGCATTCACTCTGGACGCCCGAAATGGGTACTGAAAGAATGGGTACTATGCCCAACAGCGGATCTTGTTCATTTTGAACCAGATCCGCTGTCCACGCCGCCGCGGCCTGTGTCCATTCGAGACCTGAGGCCGCCCGCCCAACAGCGGCCGCTGTCGGTTTGGGACAACATTTGCTGTTGGGCATGTTGCCCATTCTTTCGGTACCCATTTCGGGTGTCCAAATGCACCCAATCTCGCACTCCTGTCCTTTCCCCCCTCTCGCCCGTCACGCCCGAAAATGGGGAGGCGGATGATCCTACCGTGCTGTAGCGCTTCCCTGGCTTGCACTAGAACCTAAGCGCGCGCAAAGCGCGCGCGTGGTTTATAGTTGGGTCTTGGAAGGGAGAAGCCTGATCAATCAAACAGGCAATCCGCCTGAGGCATCCCCACCATCTGGGCGCGAACGGAAAATGTCCTACCCCTTGGCGGCCCTTCTCGCGATGAGGCGAAGTGTTTAAGAGTCTGAACATGCTTTGGCTGAGCATGAGTGGCTCTGAGCGATAGTGGTATGTGTGCATGTGCTGGAGTGGTCTTGAGTATGTGCGAGTCCGAGTATGAGTGGGTGTGTATCTGAGTGTTAGCGAGTCCCGTAATGAATTATCAGAGTGTGATGGAAGAGAGAAAGAGAGAGAGACAGAGAGAGAGAGAGAGAGAAAAAAAAAAGCGAGAGCGAGAGAGAGAGAGAGAGGGCGAGAGAGATCACAACAATTACTCGACGCGTGATCCCCGTATGTGCATCTATTTGCCTGGACCATTTTTCGCTGCGATTGCCTGGGTACGAGAGAGTCTGGGTATAAGTGGGTCTGAGTACCAGTTAGTGAAAGCAGGTGAGTCAGAGTGTGGGTGACTGTGTGTGTATGTGTGTGAGAGCGTGTCTGGGCGTGAGTGAAAATATGTCTAGTGTGAGCACGACGAAGCTTAGCGGCGAAGCTTCGGGTAAGTGTATCTGAGTGTGAGTGGTCTGAGGGTTCGAGTGCAGGTCTCAGTGTGTGTGGTCTGAGTGTGAGTGGTCTGAGTGTGATTGTGAGTTTGAGTGTGAGAGGCCTGGCTGTATCTGAGTGTGAGCGGTCTGACTGTGAGTGTGAGTGTGAGTCTGAATGCGTCCGAGTGTGAGCTTCGGCTCAGCATATTTGAGTGACAGAGTCTAGTATGAGAAAGTCAGAGTGCGAGTCTGAGCGTGAGCGAATCTGGGAATGAGCGACCTGAGACGGAGCAGACGGGAGGAACGAACAAAGAAGAAACACGCCAAACCACATGGTTTCAGCTCACGGGCGATCGGGTCCCACGTAAAAAGACAACACACCCGCAGGATTCACGCCCCAGGAGGGGCAATCTACAGGAGCAGCTGCCAGACACTATAGGATTCGAGCCCCAGAAGGGCAATCTACAGGAACACACGTAAAACATATAGGATTCGAGCCCCCCGGAAGGGGGGCAATATGTAGGAGCGTCCGTAAACACACACACACAGAGGATTCGAGCCCCAGGAGAGAGGCAATCCACAGTAACATATGTCAAACACTTAGGATCCGAGCCCCAGGAGAATGATTTGCAGGAGCATGCGCAAACCAGGCAGACTGGAGCCCCAAAGGAGAGGGGCAATCTGCAGCAGGATGCGCAAGACACTCAGGATTCGAGCCCCTGGAGGTCCCCTGAGGCCCCCCTGAGGCTTCCTGGGGGTCCTCCTGGGGGTCCTGCCGGCGCCCCCCGCGGCCTCCTGGGGCCTCCTGGGGCCTCCTGGGGCCCCCTGCGGCCCCCTGGGGCCCTCTGGGGCCCCCTGGAGTCTCCGGGTGCCTCCTGGGGCTTCCTAGAGCTTCCTGGTATTCTTTGGGGGGCGGAGGAGAGGAGAAGGAGGAGAAGGAGGAGGAGGAGGAGGAGGAGGAGGAGGCTAGTGCCTCCTGGGGCCTCCTGAGGCCTCCGCGCTTCCTTGGACCTCCCAGGGCCTCTTGGGCCCCCCCTGGGGCCACCTGGGGACTTGCTGGGCCCGCCTGAAGCTTCCCGGGGCTTCACCGACACGGGCAAACCACCTGAGACATCCTCGCACTTTGGGTCACTGGGGGAACATATGTAAAACACATAGGATTCGAACCTCAGGAGAGGGGCAACCCATAGGAACATCAGTAAAATACTTAGGATTCGAGCCCCAGGAGAGGGGCACTCTACACACGTAAAACACTTTGGATTCGAGCCCAGGAGAGGGGCAATGTATAGGAATTTGCGTGACACGTACGATTCGAGCCCCAAGAGAAGGGCCATCTACAGGAACACACGTAAAACACAGGAGTCAAGTATCAGGACAAGGGCAATATACAGGAACATACATATACGACCACCCTGCGGGTGATAAGGAGGTTGGGGGGGGCCCAGCAATGGGCAACAGCGGTGAATGTTGTTGTGACAATGCCAGTGGAGATAGTTGCGTTGCCGCTCGCTCTTCAACGACACCAACATCATCATCATCATCATCATCATCATCATCATCATCATCATCATCATCATCATCATCATCATCATCAACGACACCAGCATCATCATCATCATCATCAACATCATCAGCATCATCATCATCCTCATTATCATCATCATTACCATCATCATCATCATCATCATCATCATCATCATCACCACCACCACCACCACCACCACCACCATCATCATCATCATCATCATCATCATCATCATCATCATCATCATCATCATCATCATCACCCACGTCATCATCGGGACACCGACGGGACACCGAAGGGACACCAGCGGGACACCGGCGGGACACCGCGCGGCACCGGCCGCCCGGTCAAGGTTCTTTTGCCCCGGCCGCGCCTCAGCCACACGGGACACCAGCGGGACACCGGCGGGACACCGCGGGGCACCGGCCGCCCGGTCAAGGTTCTTTTGCTCCGGCCGCGCCTCAGCCACAGGAGACTTTCTCTCGCCCGCCCACGCAGCTTCGCCTCGCCCGCACGGCACGCACGAACACGAAACCGAAATCGATTTCCCAGTAGGGGGGCTCTCCGTTCCACTTCGATCTCACCCCCCAACCTCCGACTTGCACGCATGATTCGAGCCCCAGGAGAGGGGCAATCTATAGCAACATACGTAGCACACATAGGATTCCAGCCTCAGGAGAGGGGCAATCTAAAGGAACATACGTAAAGCACTTAGGATTCGAGCCCCAGGAAAGGCACTATATATATATATATATATATATATATGTATATAGAAACATGCGTAACAGGCCCCCTGGAGTTTCCTGGTGCTTTCTGGGGCATCCTGGGCCCCCCTGGGGTCTCCTGGGGCTTTCTGCAGCCTCATGGGGCTTCCCGGGGCCGCCTGAAATCTCCTGGTGCTTCCTGGGGCCTCCTGGGGCTTCTGGGGCCTCCTGGGGCCTCGCCCAAAAACAAGAAAATCGCCTGAGACATCCTCGAAATCTGGGGCCCTTGGGAGTGCTGAAACCAGCCCCTGGCCTGAGACATCCTCACAACCTGCTCCGGAAGCAGTGGATGTTGGGCACGCAGACAGGCAAACCACTTGGCACGAACGGGCCAGTGCAACACTCCCCTGTCGCCCCCCGTGAGAGTGCTGAAATCAGCGCCTGGCCTGAAACATCCTCACACGCTGCTCCGAAAGCAAAGGATGCTGCGCATGCAGACAGGCAAACCGCTTGAGACACCCCCCTGCCGCCCCCCTTGGGAGTGCTGAAACCAGCGCCTGGCCTGAGACATCCTCACAGTCTGTGTGCGTGAGTGATTCTGAGCATGAGTATGTGTGTAAGTGATGTGACTGAGCGAGTCTGCGTGATGGACGAGTCTGGGTGATGCTAGTTTGATGGGTCACGAGGAGGCGGAAGAGGAGGAGGAAGATGAGGTGTTCTTCTCCTGCGCGGTCTAACAAATAACAATAATCATCTTAAGATATGAGGAATGAACAGGGATCAGGAAACGAGAACGAGTGAGAAAGTGGAGGCGCCCCAGTGATACGAATGGGAATGATGATGCTGCTGATGCTGCTGCTGATAATGATGATGCTAATGGTGATTATGCTGCTGATAATAATTATAATGATGTCTATGGTAATGCTGCTGCTGCTGATGATGCTGATTATCATGGTGATGGTGATGGTGGTGGTGATGATGATGATGATGATGATGCTGATGATGAGTATGATGATGATGCTGATGACGAGGATGATGATGGTGATGATGGCAATAACCCCCTAGGTATGATATTTGGGCAAACTACCGAGCTTAACTTTCGTAGATGATGTCTATTTCCTCGGAGTGTTGCGTGCGAGATTCACACTATGGTGCTGCTGCGGCTGTTTCTCCTCCTTCCGCTGTTCATCCTTCTCTTCTAGGAAGCCCCTTTGCCGTCAGGCGGACATCGACGTGCTTGTCGCTATGTCTACTACGCTGCTCCTGGCTCAGCCTGGCCTGAAGGTCCTCAGCCTGGAGAACCCGCGCATCTGCACGAAGCAGGAGGCGTGCTGGCTCATCGGGGCCACTGTGTGCATGCCTGTGTGCCTGCCTGAAGGAGGATCATGATGAGGACAAGGAGGTTGGAGGATCAGGATGATCTTGTTCTTGACTATGATGGTGATGGTGGTGGTAGCGGCTACGATGATGCTGCTGATGAGGAGGATGATGTCGATGATGATCGACGATTGCGATGGCGATGCTGCTGATGATGCTGATTATGATACTGATGATGCTTCTGATGATGGTGGTGATGATGATGGTGATTGTAACGATGATGTCGAGGATGATGGTGATGAACATGTCGAGGATGCCGAGGATGATGTCCTGCCTGGAGGAGGGGGATTATGATGTCGAGGATGATGATGATGATGATGATGATGATGATGATGATGATGATGATGATGTGATGCTGCTGATGATGCATCTTATTGTCAACTGGCGAGGATGCTTGGTGGTGGTAGTGGTGATGACGGTGATGATGATGCTGCTGCTGCTGATGGTTCCAGTGGCGATGATTATGTATGCCGGCAATGACGACGATGCTGATGATGACGGTTGTGGTGGTGTTGGTGGTGTTGACGATGGTGATGTTGATGTTTATTATGATGTTGATTATGATGACGATGGTGATGTGATGTTGATGATGATGAAGGTGGTGGTGGTGACGATTATGATGAACATGATGATGCTGATGATGGTGCTGATGATGATAGTGAGATTGTCGATGATGCTGATCATGATGCAGATGCTGATGATGACGACGAGGACGACGATGATGGTACTGTTGATGCTGATGATGCTGATGATGATGATGATGCTTCTTCTGATGCTGACGATTCTGATGATGACGATGGGGATGACAATAATGATGATTATGATGATGCTGTTGATGATTTTGGTGATGATGGTCATGATGATACGGATGATGATGACGATGATGATCATGATGATGAAGCTTATCATGCTGAAGATGATGCTGCTGCTGATGATGATGATGAAGATGATGATGAGGATGATGATGATGATGAGGATGATGATGATGATGAGGATGATGATGATGATGAAGATGATGATGATGATGATGATGATGATGATGACAACGGTGATACAGATGCTAATGCTGACGATGATGCTGCTGCTGATCATGGTGACGGTGATGGTGATGATGATGACGATAATGATGATGCCGGTAAAGGTGATTGTGTTGATGATGGTCATGAGGATGATGATGATGATGATGATGATGATGATGATGATGCTGATGATGATGATGATGATGATGACGACGGTGTTGCTGATGCTGATGATGCTGTTGCTGCGGTTGCTGGCGATGATGATGATTATGATGGTGATGATGATGATGATGATGATGATGATGATGACGGTGCTGCTGATGCTGATGATTCTGTTGCTGCGGTTGCTGACGATGATGATGACGATGATGTTGATGATGATGATGATGATGATGATGATGATGATGATGATGATGGTGGTCATGATGATGATGGTCATGATCATCATGATCATGATGCTTTTGATGCTGACCCTGATGATGCTGATGATGTTACTGAGGCGGATGGTGAGGATGCGGATGAGGACACGTATTCGGAATGTGCTTTCCGATGTTGGTGTTGCTGATGGTGACGGTGATGTTGATAGCGACGACGGCAACATTGACGACGACGCCGTTGCCGACGCCGACGACGACGGCGACGACGAGGAGGAGGAGGCGGCGGATGATGATGCTAACGATTAGGATGGTGAGGCCGTCGATAGTGCTCATGTTGCTATTGATGCTGCTGCTGCTGCTGCTGCTGATGATGATGATGATGATGACGATGATGATGATGATGATGATGATGATGATACTGATGCAGCTGATGCTGATGGTACCGCTGATGGTACCGCTGATGCTGATGATGCTGCTGATGCTGATGCTGCTGATGATGATGATGATGGTGATGTCGACGCTGATGATGCTGATGCTGCTAATGCTGCTGGTGATGATGCTGCTGTTGGTGATGCTGCTGCTGCTGACGCTGCTGATGATGCCGATGAGGATGCTGATCATGTTGGCGAGTCTGAGTATGGGTATGACTATGATGAAGCTGATTGTGATGCAGACGACGAATATGAAGATGAAGATGAGTCTGATGATGATGTTGGTAATGATGATGAATCTGCATCGATGATGATGGTGATGATGATGCTGACGCTGATGCTGATGACGACGACGGTACTGATGATGATGATGGTGAGGCTGACGATGCTGATAGTGAACATGCTGGCGATGCTACTGGTGATGACGAGTGTGACGACTGTGATCCTGCTGCTGATGCTTGTGCTGATGATGCTGATGCTGAGCATGACGATGATGCTGATGATGCTGATGATGCTGATGTTGATGCTGATGATGATCATGATAATGCTGATGATGATGCTGATGATGATGCTGGTGATGCTGATGCTTATGCTGATGCTGATGACGACGACGGTACTGATTATGCTGTTAGTGCTGATGATGGTTTTGATGATGATGATGATGATGATTATGATTATGATGGGGATGATGTTGATGATGCTGCTGATGATGATGATGATGCTGATGCTGATGCTGATGATGATCGTTGTGATGATGACGATGATGATGATGCTGACGCCGATGCTGATGATCATGCTGATGATGATGCTGAGGCTGGTGCTGATGAGGATGCTGATGATGCTGAGGACGATGATGATGCTGATGATGATGATGCTGATGATGATGCATCTGATGATGATGATGATGATGCTGATGATCACGATGGTGTTGCTGATGATGATGATGCTGATGATGATGATGATGCTGTTGATGATGATGATGATGATGATGATGATGATGATGCTGATGGTGATGATGATGATGAGCAGGGGGGGGAGGAGGAGGAGGAGGCGGAGGAAGAGGAGGAGGAGGAGCAGGACCAGTGTAAATCCACGAGTCAGTTATGATGTTGAAATAAACCCTCCCTCCAAGCTCCCTCTTCACAGACCCCTACTACAAGGGTTCATTCCCACTGAGGGGACTGCTTCGTTGGAAGGCGACCCTGCAGCTTGACAAAACGTGGTTCTAGGGACTCCAGTGCAACGGATCAACTTGACTGTTGCTTCATGACGATCCTGAATATTGCCAGATCGCCATTCCTGGGACTTCAACACAGCGAACCACTGTATCTGTTGCACCCTCAGAATCCCGAACTCTTGCAAAACACCATGTCTGGTACGCTGGCCCTGGGAACCAGTGAAACTCTTGCAAAGTTTGTAATCGAATGTGCGCGGCGTTCAGGCGAGAGCCGCATTTTGAAAAGGCACCGCTCTCAATCAGTGAAGTTCTCGCAATGTTTGAAACGACTGTGCGCGGCACTAAGATGGGCGCCACATAAAAACCACCCGTCCTCAATCCCTGGCATTAGCAATGTTTTATAGCGAATGTGCGCGGCGCTAAGGCGAGAGCCACATTTCGAAGACCACCCACCGTCAATTCGTCCAGGTCTGGCATAGTTTCGCGGCGCTAAGGCGATAGCCACATTTTGAAAACCAACCGCCCTCCATATGTGAAGCGGTTGCCAATGTGTAGGCTTCAGGGTCATAAACGGTGAGGAAGTCTCATGCGGAACGCTCAGCCCGCCCCAAAAACTCGCTCCAGGGTGCGACAGGGAAAACGTATCTATCAGGACAAGGGATGGAGGATGCGTCGGAGGAGGAGGAGGCGAAGGATGAGGAGGATGAGGATGAGGAGGATGAGGAGGAGCAGGAGCAGGAGCAGGAGGAGGAGGCGAAGGAGCATTAGTAGGAGGAGGAGCACCAGGAGGATGAGGGGGAGGAGCAGCAGCAGGAGGAGGATGAGGAGGCGGGAGAGGAGGTGAGGCGGCATCAGCAGCAGCAGAGGGACCAGGAGTCTGGGAGAAGCGGGAGCGACAGCGGCAGCAGCAGCACCAGGAGGACGCTGCTGTCGCTGATGTAATGATGATGCTGACGCTGATGATGATGAGGATGATGATGATGCTGATGATAATGGTGAAGATGTTGATGATGATTGATGATGATGATGCTGATGCTGATAATGATGCTGATGCTGATGTTGATGCTGATGATGCTGTTGTTGATGCTGATGCTGATGCTCATGCTGCTACTGATGATGCTGATGATTGATGATGGCGATGCTGACAATGATGGCGATGCTGATGCTGATGCTGCTGATGCTGCTGATGATGACGATGATGCTTATGATGCTGATACTGATGATGATGATGGTGGTGATGATGATGATGATGATGATTACGATGCTGGCGATGATGATGCTGATGATGATGCTGTTGCTGTTGATGGCGATGCTGATGCTCATGATGATGTTGATGCTGATTATGTTGATGTTGATGATGATGATGCTGATGATTCTGATGCTGATGCTGCTGATTATGATGATGCTGATGATGCTGATGATGCTGAGGATGATGATGATGATGATGATGATGATGATGATGATGGTGATGATCATGATGCTGGTGCTGATGATGCTGCTGATGAGGATGAGGATGATGTTGGATGAGGATGATGACGATGATGATGGTGGTTGTGGTGCTGCTGATGATGATGATGACGACACTGCTGATGATGTTTACGATGATGATGATGATGATGATGATGATGATGATGATGATGATGATGATTATGATGATGATAACAACAATGATGATGGTGATGATGATGATAATGATGATGATGATGGTGGTGGTGATGATGATGATGTGGATGAGTCTTAGGATGATTATGATGCTGATGATGATGGTGGTGATGATGCTGATGATGATGATGATGATGGTGCTGATGATGATGATGATGATGATGATGATGGTGGTGGTGATGATGATGATGATGATGATGATGATGATGATGATGATGATGATGATGGTGATGGTGATGGTGATGGTGATGGTGATAATGGTGATGCTGATGTTGATGATGATGGTGATGCTGATGCGGATGATGCTGATTATGATGCTCATGCTGCTGATGATGAGGCGGATGATGATGATGAGGAGGAGGAGGATGAGGAGGAGGAGGAGGACGAGCCGGAGCAGGAGCAGGAGGATGAGGAGCAGGAGGATGAGGAGGAGCATGAGGATGAGGAGAAGGAGGAGGAGGAGAAAGAGGAGGATAGGATAGGATAGGATAGGATAGGATAGGATAGGATGCGTCCTCTCCGTGTGGTCAGGGCTGGTCGTCGAGCTCCGCTCCCGATCCCACGGCCGCGCGTATCGTAGCCTTGGGGCGGGGAAGGGGGGGGGGACGGGGCGGGGGGGAGGGAGGCGGGGGGGGGGGAGGCGGGAGGGAGGCTGGAAGGGGTGGGGGTAGGCGGAGGGCTGCAGACAGGGCGTTGCATGGGAGCTGGGAGGGGAGAGGGGCGGAGTAGTGGTGTCCGGAAGCAGGGATGGGGGAGGGAGGGGAGGGAGGGGGAGGGAGCAGGGAGGGAGCGGGGAGAAGACGGAGTGGGGATGTGGAGGATGTGGGGAGGGAGGGAGGGAGGGACAAGTGAGGGGGAGGGGAGGCAGGGGGAGGGAGGGAGGGAGGAGGAGGGGTGGGAGGGGTGAGGGGGTTGAGGGGAAGGATGGGGGGGAAGGGGGAAGGCTTGCCCCGGCTGGATGTGTAGAGAAATGTCGCAGCAGGGATTTGGATGAGTGGTTCAAGGGAGGTGGCAGGTGATGGACGGCAAGGCGAACGGAGAGGCGGACAATTTGGAGGTGGATGGATGGGGCGAAGGAATGGGATGAGATATGTTATCCTTATCCTCCTGCTTATTCTTCTCCTCCTTCGGCTCCCCCTGCTCCTGTTCCTGCTCGTCTGTTCTACATCCTCCTCCTCCTCCATCTCCTCCTCCTCCTCTTCTTCCTCCTTTTCACTTCCTCCTCGTCGCGCGGCGGCAGGCTCACCACATCGCCCACAGTCGATGTTCCTCGCTGCTCCTCCGCCCCCATTTTCCCACTGGCCTGCTCTCTTAATCGATGGGGAGGACCACACAGTGCACCTCGGGCGGATGCTCCGAGTCAACACGGGCATCAGCGAGATCTACCTCGGGACGTGCGGCCGCGGGGGGGATTTGGCTAAGGAGGTAGAGGAGGACGAGGCGGAGTTAGAACATGGCCGTGCGACTGGGTGAGGAGCGTTGCCGCGCATTCCGCTGTCAGGTTTTGGATTTTCCGCCGAAATTTGGCTCAAGTACCATCTTGCCTTCTTCGTAGAATGCAGTGGAGACCCATGCCAAGAAACACCCTGCTTGCCTGCAGGGTGCCCTGGGTTTCTTGGGTTTCGATTGTTTTGCAATGGAAGGGGTAACTTTTCCACGCCAAAAAGAAATGGACGCCCTGGGGTCTCAGGGTTGGGTTTCTTGTGGAAGGTTTCATGTGGACTGGCCTCCACTGTAGCTCCTGCCAGATTTTCATGGTCGCAGAGCCCGTGGTTCGCCCCACGGGTTCTAGAGCGGAGATGGCAGCGGCGGCCGCTGCGGCGACCCAGTGGGCCCCAGCAACAACGACCCAGGCTACAATTATCGTTACATGAAGTATGCGAAGCTTGGTTCAACGCAGGCTGGAACCAGTTTGAGAAACGATGCAATGCAAGTTACGAAAACGGGGACGTCTGATATGCTACCACCGCCCTCACATCCAAGCACGAAAGGATGGGGCTACTCTTCGAGCGCAGCGCGACACTTGGTACCAGGACGGCTGACGATGATGAGTCATTCGCGATGTCACCGATGAGTTGCACGATGAATGTTTTTCTGATTTTGGTCACCAGCCGCAGCGTGTATTGCGTGTATTGCGAGGAAAACTTCAAAAACTCGGAAATACGTCAGGACATACCTCCAACGTCGAGCGAAAACCCCGGATCATGTTGCCAATCTCGCTGGCGCTGTACAGCCCGCTGGAGCGCGAGGGCTGGAGGAGGTGGACGCAAACCCGTTAGCGAGACAAGGCCGTCTAACAGTTAAAAACGTTCTCGGGTGACCGCACCGAATCCACGGAATGGAGCGACAAATTGTTGAATGCGCCCGCCCTGGTGGAGCGTGGAAATCGAAAAGCCTTGAATCATGTGAATAACAAGTTTAACAATTTCGAGACCATGGATGGCGCGTTACCAGACGACGAAAATGTTGACCTGATACAAATCACGAGCGGCAGTTTAACGCTAGGCGAATACACCAAGGCGGCGCACATCAAGAAGCAAGAGGACGACGCAAAAAGGGAGTATGAGTTAGATGGGACTACGCCAAGCTGGACGAGGACCTCGGGTATTCTGGAATTTGTTGAGCGACTGTTTAGACGTCGCGGAGTTTCGCGGAATCTGTAAGGACCTATTCGAGAGCGGCGACCGACTGGCATATCACAAGATTCTCAAGTGGTTTTTGGCCGCTACCAGAGTCACGTTTCACATAAGATGAACGTGGCCATGAACCCCAAGAAACCCAAGCAGGCGAACGATGTGTCGACCCAGCTCGAGCAGTGGAGTGCGTTAGTGGAGCCCTTTGAGAAGTACGGGTCCGCATGTCCGTTAACATTGCCATGCCGGTCTACCGCTTTGAGGATCATCTTGACTTGCGCACGTGATTGGTTTCACGACTGGCAGCAGGATTGTTTCAAGTTGCCACAGCCAATAAACATCGACACGTGCCAGAAACTCTTCATCGCGTGTGAGGACAGGGCCAGAAAGAAAATATGTAACGCCCGCGCAAAAACAACGACGATCGAGGTCGGTCGCAATAGCAATGACGACACTGGAGAGTGGGTCACAAACTAAAACGAGTCTGGTCACTAAGGCGAAGGTTGAAACTGGTGGACCTGGAATGGGGATGACATGAGTGGAAACGGCGACGCGAACGACGCTAGCAAACAAAAAGGCAAGGGTAAATAACCCATGCGTTACAAGTGTGGAGGATCTGCACATATTGCCGAAGACTGCGCCATCAAAGGAACCACCAAAGGAAAAGGTGGAACAAGGGGAATAAAAAAGGTACCAACAGTCACCAAGGAGCGCAGGTAGGAGGATGCACAGGAGGGCACTGGGCACCAAGGGTTGCCCGGGGGGGTGCGTCCGAGGAGGTCACAAACGGGCGGCGAAAAGAGTCGCGCAGCAGCACGCTGCCCCCGGAGCGGAGGCCACCCCGGGTCAATGGGGGGCAGGAGGCGCAAGAGAGTCCGCGCAGATGTAATTCCGACCCCAACCTGGAGTCAGGCCCCCAGGACGCGCCCAGGAGGCCTCCAGAAGGCCTAAATTAAGGAAGGCCGAAACAACTTGTGTGAGGCCCTTGGAAGCTCTCTAAGGAGTAGCCTGCGCCAAAAGAACCCAAAAGGATGGGGACACTGTGCAGGGTATGGCAATAATGAGGAAACAGAAGCATGGAGGAAGGATGACGTATAACATTATCAGAACAGAGGTCCCAGAAAAGGCAACAAGGAGCTATCGCTAAGTAGTCGGCTGGGCCTTCCTGCCATTCCGACCGCGTGCCAAATTTCAAGGCCCGAAGTGCATGGCGCGAAGCGCCAATGCAGGCTTACACATAGATGTGTATATTTAGGTGTATGCAGATGTATATGCATGTCTGAACCTACATATGTTTACATGTACGTATGGATGCATCTAAGCATGTCAATGCATGTGTGTATGTATGTATGTATGTTTGTTTGTTTGTTTGTTTGTCTGTGTGTTTGCTTGTTTGTTTTGGTTTGTTTTGTTTGTTTGTTTGTTTGTGTGTGTATGTCTGTCTGTCGGTCTGTCTGTCTGTCTGTCTGTCTGTCTGTCTGTCTGTCCGTCCGTCTGTCTGTCTGTCTGTCTGTCTGTCTGTAGGTATGTATATATATAATCTATATGTATATATGTATATATGTATATATGTATATATATGTATGCATGTATGTATGTATGTATGTATGTATGTATGTATGTATGTATATATACATATATATATATATATATATATATATATATATATATATATATGTGTAAATACCGCCCCCCGCGGCCCCGGTCCCACACCTCCCCGCCACATCTCAACAACGTTCCCGGTACCGCTCCCCCGGCCTTTCTGGAGAGCTTCCACAGCGCTCCAGGAAGGCCCAAGACGCACCCCAGGAGCCCCCAGAATGCGAAAGGATGGCCCTAAACGCTACCAAGCAGCCCAAATCAGCCTTCCGATGGCTCTCGAGGCTCCCAGGTGGCCTCCAAGAGACCCCAAGAGAGGTCCGAGAGGCGTCCCGGGACGGCCCGAAGAGGCCCAAATCGTCGATTTTCATTCACAAATGTTTTGGCTTCTCGGGTTTTCGAGCTTCCAACGGTCCAAGAGCGCCGAAGAGGCTCCCAAGACCGCCCCAAGACCACCCAAGAGACCCTCAGGACGGCCCCAAGACGGGCCAAAGAGGTTCCAAGACTGCCGAAGAGGCGCCCAGGACAGCCCCAGACCAGCCCAGAACAGGCCCAAGATGGGCCCAAGAGCGGGAGCAGGAGGCTTCCAGAGACCTCCGAGAGGCTTCCGGGTCCACCCAGATTCCCCCAACACATCCCCGATCCTTGAGAGGCCCCAAAAAGACCCCGACGAGGCTCCAAGAACAGCCCAAGAGAGCTGCGAGAGCCGTTCCGAGAGAGCCCAAAGAGTGTGACATCGTTTATTTCCAATCGTTGTTCCAATGTTTTTCGCCTTCTCACGTTTTCCTGCTTCCAACCCTCAAAGATCGAGGATTTTGAACAAAACAAGTAATTCCAAGAATTCCCTTTTTTTTCAAAGTGGAACTCCTCTTCGGGGATCCTACACATCCCCTGACATCTGGCCGGTACCACGCCTCCCGGCTTCTTGGAGAGACCCCAAGACGCCGAAGGGCAGCCCATGACGACCCCAAGAAACTCCCAAAACGTAAAGCCCAAGACGCTCACAAGCAGTCCAAGACCTCCTGTGGACGGCTCTCCACGCTCCCAGGAGGCCTCCAAAAGGCCCCAAGAGAGGTCCGAGAGGCGTCCCGGGAAAGCCCGAAGAGGCCAAAATCGTCGATTTTGATTGTTTTTCCAATGTTTTTGACCTTCTCGGGTTTTCGAGCTTCCAACGGTCCAACACCGCCCCAAGACCGCCCAAATGATTCCCAGGACGGGTCCAAGACGGGCCAAGAAACCCCCAAAATTGCCGAAGAGGCGCCCGGTACCGCGCCCCCCTTTTTTCTCAAAGTGGACTCCTACTCGGAGATCCCACACATCCCTTGACATCTGGCCGGCACCGCGCCTCCCGGCTTCCCGGGGGGCCCCCAAGACGCCCAAGGACAGCCCAAGACGACCCCAAGGAGCCCTCAGAACGTAAACAAGACCCAACACGCTCCCGCGCAGCCCGAGACACCCTTCCGACGGCTCTCCAGACCTCCAGGAGGCTTCCAGAACCCCCAGGGGATCCGGAAGATCCCACACCCCTGAAGGGCCTAGCTAACAAAACCCGCGAGGCAAACAAAAAGCAGCGCCGAACAGCGCCGACGAACTGGAAATAAGTTTGAATCCCACAATTCCTTGGCCCCCGCTTTACTCTTGCACTACAGACCACAATTCAGACCCCTTCACCTCCCCAAAAGAACCCAGGAAGCCTTCGACGACCAGCCATTTCTGGGGGAGCACGGGTCTGGGGGAGCTGGGGGCGCCCTCCTAGATGATATTCCTCCTTTATGTAATTTCAAGCAGTTGCACCTGAGACTTCGTGCTGTTGTGATGCTGTAGGGTAGCAGCGACGGCCTTGGAATCAGCCCTGAAGGTGGCGCGAAGCCCCTCGCTGGACAGGGCCAGAAATCCCACTCGACCCGGCACTGGGATGGCCGTCTCAAGCTAACGCCACATCTGCGACAGCTACGCCAAACAAACATGAGCGTGAAGCCCATAGGACCCCGATGTCAGGACACCGGCACAACATGCATCCTGCACCTTTGGCTGAGCCGGCCAAGCGCTTCCATGAGGACGGCGCGCAGGCACGGGGGCAATCGGGTGCGAAACAACGCAATCGCTGGACATATGGCAGCTTGACGCGCGACGATCAACGGCGCCGCATCGACAAACTGAGAAAAATATCCTACAGACCCGCGCCTCGCAACAACGATCGAAACAAACCGAGCCCACCACGCAGCGCGCAGCAGGGAGACTGCGCCACTGCGTGTCCGAGGGGGCGCCACTCCGACAGCACTTGAACGTCGTGCGATATGATTTTGAACCGGAATGCGGGGACCTTCGAAAATCAAAGGGCAGGGATGGCCGCCAGCAACCGGCCGTCGGCGCGAAACCGTTGCAAAGATTCGGAACGAGCGTGCGCGGCGCTGCGAACCTTCCCCTTCTAACCCTGACCACGCGGGAGACGGCGACAGTGAGAATGCAGAGCAGGGGTGGAGGAGGGGTACGAGGAAAGGACATCGACGTAGGTGGTGAGGATGATAGAGGCGACGCGGAGAAGGGGGGAGCGGGGCGTAAGAAATATGGTGGAGGAGCGGGAGGACAGGGAGGAGGAGGAGGAGGAGGAGGAGGAGGAGGAGGAGGAGGAGGAGGAGGAACAGGCATGCCGGACACGCCCTCGCGGGACCGCAGGGCGCGCCGGTCTTCCGCAGCGACGGCGCGCGAGGATGGGGGAGCCAGGGGGTGGCGCTCGGCCGCCCAAAATTTCCCGTGCAACCCTTGCGCGTCGATTTTTTTCCTCCGCCAAAGTGGCTTGCGCCTCCCCCAGGGGGCTTCAAAGTGGCAGTTCTTTTCTCGACTAGCGGAAGATTACTAGGTAAGCTTTCTTCGTCCGCTAGAGGAACGCGTACTAGGTGTGCTTGTTCGTCCCCCAGAGGAACACTTCTGGGTGTGTCAAAAGGGGGCCGGACCGGTTCCGCCTCGGCGGCCTCGTCGCGAAGACCGGGGGCAGCATCGTTCAAGGGGAACACTACTAGGCAAGGCTACCGCGGCGGTGTCTGCAACAAGCTTGCGCGGATATTTCTGGAGTCCTGGAACCCGCGCCCGCCCCCGAATTATTGCCCCTTCCCCTGGCGGCGCCCCGGGCGCCGCTGACCGGACCGCGTCCTATGCCAATGCCCGCCGCCCGGTGGCAACGGGCCGAGGCGCCCCCGCGCCCCGCGCCGTTTGACGGCTTGCGCGCCCCCAACTTCTGGCCGTCATGCACGGAGACCCCTGGCCGACGGGAGGCGCCGCCCGAAGGCGGAGAAACAGGCAGAACGATCGCCCCCCGCTTCGACACCAGCTACCGCGCCAATTTCCTACGCCCGCAGCGCGTTCAACGCTCTCCCTGATCGCGCCCGCGCAGCCCAACGAGCGCGGCTCCACGCAGCGCAGAGGCGCATATTCATCTGGCATTGCCTTGGCAGTGCGCGAGTCACCGATCGGGAATTCCCGCGCGCGCGAACTTCGCAAACATAGAATGCACCGAGAAAGATTCCCGATGAGTTGCCAACTTCTGCAACCAAGTTCCCGCGAAAGGCGGTTCTAACTTCGCGGCTGCAGGCCCTGGCGGGCCTAGCGGCAGGGCTCCGCATCCAGGCGCTACGAATCGGGGCGGCATTGCACGGACTGGAGCGCATGCTGAACCGAGCTTGCGAAACCGATGGCAACTAAGTTCAGGCAGTCGCTCGCGCCACTCGGGCTCGCGAGCGAACTGCCGTCTGACACTGGCACGCGCGCGCCGATAACAAGTAATCGCACTTGCGCTGTGGGGGGCGCTCGTTTGGTGCGGCGCGCGCGACGCAGCTGAACAGGCAATGTCTTTCAGTTTGTGCGAGCCGCGCCCAACAAACCGCGTGATGGTTCAGTTCAAAATGTCCCACTCGCTGCGTGCACAACGACCCCCGGCGCGATGGCCGATGCGCTGGTCGCGCTCATCGAGAGAGCGGGGGCACCAGGAAAGCAAATCTTGGATCAGATGGGTACCCCGGGGGGGCAAGGACCGCAGCCCCCCCAGTTACCGGGGCCCTAAATCGTTGAATATCTAAAGGGAATTGATAATTCTTACGTTTCCGCATTTCCCCCTCTATACGATTCCGAGGCTTGCGCAGGGCCTCCAAGGGAACCAATGGACGCAAGAAGCGACCAACATAATATTACATGAGTCAGCCGAGCAAGCCTAGCTAGAACGTGATCGCGCGCGAAGCGCGCGATGGTTCTAGTGTGTATACATATACGCACACACACACATATATATATGTGTGTGTGGTCACGCCTTTTTTTATCGACCTGCTTATGCGCATAGAGATAAATTTCGATTCCATCATGTGCCGATCTCGCCATAGACTTCATTATCGATCTCTCGATTGGCTTCTAAATCCTTTCCGTCGGCTTCATTGTATTTCTGTCGAAATCATGATCCATCCGTCGGGGCAGCCAGCAAATCTGTTCCCAGTTATGCCAAAATCTCGAGCTGCCGATTTGGCCGAAACCAATTGCGACAGCCCTTTGGGCAACCATCTGCGCAACCATCTGGACAATCATCGGGGAAACCACTGGGGCACCCATCGGGACAACCATCGGGACAACCATCGGGGCAAACCATTTGGGCAACCACAGGGACAATTGTCGGGACAACCATCAGGATAACCATCGGGAAGCCCTTTGGGACAACCACGGGACAACCCCTGGGACAACCATTGGGGCAAGCGTCGGGGCAACCATCGGGACAACTGTCGAGACAACCATCAGGACAACCGCGGGAAAACCGCGGGAAAACCACGGGACAACCGCGGGACAATTGCGAGGGACCATCCCAATTGTGGGGGGAGGGGCGGAGGAACGTTTGCTTTGATTTTGCCCTGGCGGCGGCACTATCGTTCCGTTTGCCCGCGCGCGCGCAGCTTCGCCTCGCCCGCACGCACGGCACGAAAACGAAACCAAAACCGATAGCCCGGTGGGGGATATCCGTTTCATTTCGATCTCCCCCCCCTGCCCTTCGATAGTGGTAGTCCCGATGGGTTTCGCGTGGGCTGTCCCGACGGTTTTTCCGACGGTTGTCCCGATTGATAGACACATAAGGATATCGGTAGGTACGTTGATCGTGAAACAACTATACAAATAGTGCGACGGACAAATCGTGAGACTGATTGATTGATTGCCGGGTATGTCTATAACTGTTGTCCCGTCAGTTGGTCCGGTGGTCGTTCCGATGGTTGTCCCGGCGGTTGTCCCGAGAGATTGATGGCGACGTCGACAGATGTATTGAATGTGGTATCAAACGACATATTGTAGTACCGAGAAGTCGTGAGACTGACAAATGCATATATGCATTAATGGCTGTCCCGATGTCTTGATATATAGACAGTGGTCTTGTCAGACACATGGAGAATGATATCGAATAGGTGCGTGACGAGTTGTTTAGGTGTACGTTGTTTACGTGGACACTCATATTGATGTCTCGATGTTCTTCCTCTCGTGCGCGAAATGCAAGTCAAAGGTGCTGCCACCCCCTCAAACCTCCTTATCCACGGACATACATTTCACTAGCTCGTTCTCTCTTGTTATGATAATCCTCTCTATCAATCCTCTCTCTCTCTTTCTCCCACTCTTTCTATCTAGTGTATCATCAGACATACACATCTATCTCTGTCCCCCAATCTCTCCATCCCTCTATCCATCTTTCCCTCTCTCTCTGCGCTCTCTCTTTCCCTCTCTCTTTCTCTTTATCCCTCTCCCCCTCTCCCTCTCCCTCTCTCTCTCTCTCTTTTTCTCCCTCCCCCATCCCGACCGTGAAGCTCAGACGTGTCGGTCTCTGTCCGCACCATCATAGCCAAAATGTCCGTATGTGTGGCTGTCTACGCAGCTGCTCCCTCCAAGGAAGTGCAAGTTCCGTGACGAAGGCATCAGGCAGTTGGTGTC